TTCTTTTTTTTTTTTTGTAATTCTTATTTGTCGAATTTCATTTCTTTGCCCAGCTGTCTCCATTGTATTCCTCCTCCCCCTGATAATCTGGGTTGATGTTATATGGCTTTTATCCTCATTATCTTCCCATGTTCTTTTCCTATTTTTTGATCTTGCCCTTTACTCCTATTTCTCATATAGATCTGTTTCCTTCTCATATTCTCATTCCAGATTCCAGGCCTTCCTCTTTTTTTAGTCTTCCCTTTACTAAAAGTTTAGTTTATCACTCTTATTCTTCTCAGTGACTATCACACACATATGACTCTGTGGGTGCCTATCTCTTCTCCTATTGTTGAGTTTCACTTTGTACCAGCAGTTGTTTCCATTTTTCCATCTTAATCTCTTTCCTCATTCCTCTTCTCTTCCCTCCAAACCCATCTATAGCCTTTTTTACCCATTCTGCAGTTGACCATATTGATGTGTGAGACACCTTCCAACACATCTGTTTCAGCCTGTCCTTCCTTTGTTTTCTGTACTTTATCCAAGTTTTTCATGTGTTCACCCTTCGACTCAGTGTTGGCTCCTTTTATATTCTTTTACATCATGAAGACATTTGCTTGCTATATTCTTGGCTTCTGGCTGGAATATCTTTTTTTGGACTATCTCCTTCTAGTAGCCCTTTCTTGGATGTTTCCTCATCTGATACTTCCCTTCCTTTGCTATGGTTACTCGATTGTCAGGGGTGAATAATCCTGGGTTCTATGTCCTTTCTCACACCGATTTAGTATTTGGTACTTTGGACCTTTTCTTCTTCTCAAGGCAAGGTGACCACACTCAATACCAGTCCTTACTACATAGTAATTGTGCCCTCCTCTTGCAGTTGGTGTAAGTCCTGTAGAGTCTGACAGTAGAGTTGAGGTGTATACAAGTATCCATATTGCATAATTATGTTCCCTCTTCCCACAGCTAGAGTCAATCTTGTAGAACCTGATAGTGGAGTTGAGGTGAGCATTGCTACTTATTACAAGTGCCCTACTCTTATAGCTGGTGTCAGTATTGTAGTGTATGATGGTAGAATTGGACACACAAGATACGTTCTGAATGAGCCCTGAACACTACACATTGGTTAGCCGATGACTTGTGTTCAAGTACTCAGACATTCATGTACCAATTCCACCCATTCTCTGACACAACTTTGGCTTCTTTACCTCTTCACTTTTCCTATATTGGTAAAGAGTATACCCTGGATGAGACAAGATTCTGGCTTCCATAAAACTCTTCATTCCTTTAGGGTATGTCCCCATGTATCTCCTGCAGTGGACCTTGTAGACCCATGGTTTTCTTTCTTGATTTTCTTTGTCCTTTATTGTGAGGGGCTAACCTTGAGGACTTGGCACAGTGCCTGGACTAAGCCTGTCCTACTTTATGCATTTCCTTACCACCTCTCTCTCTATATCTCTCTCTTTATGATTGATGTATTTTTTTTTCAAGGAGGGCAGGTCTTTTGACATTTGAATGCTGGAGAAGGGTTCACTCCTCATCAGTGTGATCAACCTTCTTTCTCTTTGTTGGGCATGATCTCTTTTCTGCCCCTACAGTGGTTCACTTGGTCATGTACCACTTAGTTTATTCCACAGTGTTTCCTCACTCCAACTGTCCTTGATTCTCTCATCACATGTCTTTTGCTTTCATGGGTTCATCATCCACTTCTGAGCCTATTATCTTTATTTTCCAACTGTTTCAATCTATGTGGTGGCTCTCCTCTTTCAGCCAGTCTGTATTCTATAAATGGAGTGGCCTTTACAAATCCAGGTTTTTCATAGGGTTTACTCCTGTTTGGACACATCCCTCGTGGATGCTTTTACCACCCTTCTCATCTCTGGACTTACTCTCTTATGATTCTCTATTTTTCATCCTTTTGCTTTGACTATCAATTTTCTCATCCAGGCATGTTCTATCCTCTTTCTCGATACCTACTTCTCGATTTGTCTCCTCTTTCTGGACCCCTGTTGACATACTACTTTCTTTTTTGGCCCTATTATTGGCATTTCTTTGACCACCTTCACCTTGATCTGCTTGATATTTGGACACCTTTTCTTTTCCTCATTATCCCTTCTCTCTCTCTTACCTCACTCTCCCACACTTTATTTTCTCATTGACATATATCTTCCCTCCACTCTCATCAATGGATTCTGCCCAATTTGTTGCCCTTTGTGCTGGGATTTCCACTAATGTGGCATTATTTTTGTTGTGGATCCTTCCTCCACCACTTTTCTCCCTGTAGTAGTTCTGTGCATCACCTTGCTCACAGATTTGCTCACAGATACTTCTCTCCATAGTTGGGGAGCATATGTACATCATCAGGAAGCTTTTGGACAATGATCTCAGATCAAAATATCTTACCATATCAACATATAGGAGCTTCTGGCAGTACAGCATTCTTTGGTTCATTTTCTTTCTCTGATACTGAACTGACACATTCCAACAATTCCACAGTTGTGACCTATATCAATCACTAAGGGGGCACTTATTCCCTTTGTGGTCAAACATTAGAACTCCTTTATAGGGCCTACAGAATGCAGATAAATCCCCTTGCGTGTCATGTTCCGGGTGCTTTTCACCTTGCGGCAGATTGTTTTTCAAGACCCGATTAGGTTTTCAGGTGGCTATGCAATAAGCAAGGTACTCCTCATCTCAGTGGGTTTACCACTTTACTCAAACACCAAGTTATCTCTTTTTAAATCTCCAGTTCCTTATTCTCAGGACCTGGCAGTGGATGTACTCAGACAGGACTGGACAAACTTTACATTTTGCATTCCTTCTGGTTTTATAGACTTTCTCACTGGACAGTTCTTCTGGATTGCAATGTCAGTATTGTTCTTCACAGCCTTCCACTCCTACAGTTTGAATTTTGTCTTCTTGTTCCCTGTTTCACCTATTCATTCAGACTTATTCCTACTCCTTTTAGTGTGGGCAGCATTGATCTAATATATTTGCCATTGGTGTTTCACAGACTTTTTTCCATTCCACATGTGTTCTACTTTATCTGGATCAATCTTTCCTACCTCAAACTTCAGTAAATCAGGAGTAACATTCTTTCTTCTCACCAATTTCACTTCCATCTATTTCTCAATTTTATTATAGGTCTGATCTGGATAGAGTACTATGTCCAGTATGTGATCTTCAAGTAACTTTTGTAATTTTATGTTAAATTACAAACTTTCATTAATTTAATTAATTAGTTGCTTATAATTAGTACTGACTTAATCTGGAATTCTTCAATTTGTACATCTTTTCATTCACATGACATGATGTGGACAAGTAAATTTTTCAGAAAGTAAGTATTCTGTACATTAATAGCAGCTTTTTGATCTCCTAAGCCAAGTAATTAGCTTCTAGAATCTACATTTCATTACTGAGTTGTTCCTACTCTATTTATTTATTCAGAGTGCAAATTGTAACAGTCTTTATTATTTTCAGAGAAAAACCAAAGGAAAAAAAAAGAACTTCAGAAAAATTTTAAATCCTGGTCCAGACCATGTTCTGCTGTAGAAGTTGAGGTAAATACACTGTTTGTTTCAACCAATGACAAACATATTTACACTTACTTAGGTTTACCTACTGTACTAATGATATATTAAAAAACATGATATCTTTGATTAAAGTTAATAATGTTCTAACAGATAATTTTGGACAAGTTTTAAAGAGGAAAAAAAAAGAGAATTATGCTCTTTGATAAAAATCAAGACTAAATCCAGGAAAAAAATAGTTTAAAATCTTTTTTTACACCAAAAATAATAAATAACATGACACATTAAAAAAAGAAAGTTTATCATGAACTATGATAGTGCTTCATATTAGGGTTTGTCCAGGAATTTCACAAAAATTCTAATAGAACTTATGGGCAAAAACCATCTTAAAAAGCAGACTTGTTCTTGAAACAACATTCAAGACCTTCTGTTGCAATGGCTAAGGCTGGTAAAATATTGATAATAGCAAAAAAGTTGATTTTCCAATTGCTAGACAAAATTCAAAATTCTTCCATTTGTTCTTCATATTATTATTATACTTGTTTTGCAAGTTTACAGAAAAAAAACAGCTATGAATATTAAAACCTGAGCAAACATTATAAAATGACTCCTGCACAGGCCATAGGACTATTTTTATGTTTATTGTTGAAAGAGGAGAGATTTCATCAGGTTTTTTCATTGATACTGGCCAAGTTTCTTTTCAAAGCCATTTACAAGCACTGAAGCCTACAGCAAAAATAGCTAAGTATACTGCACCAAAATCTATGCACAGCTACTAAACAAACAGCTGTGAAAGTTGTAGGCTATTCTTAAATTAATTTTTGAAAGTCCAGATTTCTGCCCTCTAAAATTTTCTAAGTTCTTCGTTGCTACCAACATAAGCTCTTTGAAGCCATTCAAGCATTGTAGAAATGTAGAAGCCATTTAATTAAGCACCATTATACTAGTTGGAAACACTTCATTTTATTAGAGTAAACAATGTGTATATTTATAACAATGTCTCCAGCCTCATTATTATTCCCTGAAATTGGGAGTGCATATTTTAAGAATATTTTATTATTATTATTTATATTTTTGTTTCATAAGCCTATGTCAAAATCAACTGGATATTTTGCACCAAAAGCTAGATAGATATACTATATGAAATGCTGCAAATAACCATGAACTATTTAAAAAGTTGATTATTTTTTCATTGAAAGTTTATTTACATGGCTATAAATACATAATATATGCAACGTTGTTGTGAACGGCTTTGTTTGTACTCGATGCTTGTTAAATGCGTGTTTACACACAAAACCACCTGGCTCAGTAAGTAATGGTTGGGTGGAAAAAGCCACTGCAATAAAGTGTTCAAAAACATGTAACATTCAACTGAATGCATATGCACATATGTAGCTATGAAATTTATTCTCCATAAATGGACATAAAAATTTAAGAAACAAGAGAATTAAAAATTGTTAATTCTAAAAGGGGAATAGGGATTGTCAAAAAGTGCAGAAACAAGTTGAATCAAAATGCAAATATTATATTTTGAAGCTTACAACTAGGTAAATAAACAGGAAGTAAACTAGGCTGGAAAATGTGTCTTATTTTCTTAAGCTACAAATTCCTATTTGGACTCCACTAAAATTGATAAGTACTGTAGACATGGAGTCAAAATAGAAATTTGTAGCTTGAGGCTGCACACACACATGTGCCTCCTCCAATGGACATTATATGTGTTCAGTGGAGGAGATGGGAACATGCCCAACAAACTGCGAGTACACTGATGTGGAGTGAATGCTCCCCCAGAGCCCATGCATCCAAAAATAACTTCATTCATAAGCATGTGAAAATCTAGACTGTGCAAAGGATGCAAGAAAATCTTCTTACCCTTCTCAGATATGGTCTGTAGACTGAATAAATGCAACCAGATGGAGTTGAAATCCTGCAGGAGACGAAACAACTAAGTGATGAAGATAATGGGAGATAAAAATGTGCGGATTCATCCACATGCCAGTGTGAAGGGATTTAGTCCAAATAATCAGTTGGTAGCTGTTTAAAAATTATAAGTAAAGTACATAAATTGTCAAACTCATGTCACTGTTCAGAGATGTATCTTGACAAGGAAGCATCTATGAAAATATGGAGATCTGAAGATGGTCAAATCACCAAGACATGTCCTTGAGAAGGAGAGAAGAAAGGCTCACAATTGGGGACAACAGATCCTGAGAAAGGTTCCCTCTTTTCATGGATCCATTAGTGATGATCCACTCTGACAATTCCATGCTCATTTGTAATATCAATCATCAGTGGATATCCATTTCAGGACTCTTTATTTCTATGTATTGGACCTACAATTTTGAGCTTATTCCCATCAAGTACCTTTCATAGCTTGTCATGTGCCGGGGGCTCTAAACCTGGTGGCAAATTGCCTCTCTCAGTCACACAGGATTCTATTCATTGAATGGTCTCTCCTCCCTCAGGTTTTCGTTGGGTTTGTTCTTAGCTGGACATGTCCCTCATCAATACTTTTGCAACTACTCTCAGCACCAAACTTCCATTTGTCAGGTTCACAATTCTTCATCCTTTGACTCTGGCAGTCAGTGCTCTCAGTCGGAACTGGTCTCATATTTTTGTGTATTCCTCTTTTTCTCCACCCTCATATCCTCAGTTTGATATAAAACACTCCTCATCAGGTCCTGTTTGTGTCCAGCTCCCTCTCTTGCTCCAAGCTGATGTTTCTTTTTCACCTAGCAGTGTCATTTGTTCATCTTTGTTTGTGAAATTTGTATGCAGGAATGGATTCTTTGATCGTGTAGCCTTCTTCGTATTTCGTACATGTCATTCTTCAATGTTTCTTTAACCTATCATGGTAAGAGGCAAGTTTTTCAGCATTGAATCATCCACCAATCCCTTCCTCTGGCCTTTTTTTTTACGTGGTTGTGTGACTATGGATTGTCAGTCTCCACCATAGCTGATTATCAGTTGGCTTTATCAACTAAATTTTAGCTTTCCCATTACTGCCACGTGTTTTCTTCCCCTTTCCTTTCCAATTTGTTCCAATTCTTCATCTTCACTAACTCCCATGTTTGACTATGG